TCCTAGTGCCTGCGAAGATCGAGTTTGCTTCCGACAATCGATAACGTACTCCTTTTTCAAGCAATCGATTAAAACCGATATCGACAACCTGTTTTTTGAGCAAATTGGGTAAATAATAAGAGCTAGAGTCACCAAACATGATATGTTGCTTCTAGAATATTACATATATGTCAAGTATCTTTCATTTTATACCTATCGCCACCTCCCCGCTATCACCCCAGAGCTATAAATCAAGTTAATAACCAAACTTTTATTGCCAACCAATTTAAGCCACAATTTAAATGCAATTGACTTTTTCAGAATACACAAATATTCTATTGTACACTAAGATATACTGTAGAAAATTTCATAAAGATCGGTTAAGAAAAAACCAAAGTTATATGCAACTGCAAAATTGAGTGGGGAAGCAGCTTTAAGAATTTCTGTATACATGTACACACACACATTAATGCGCGTCTGCTTCGAATTCTAACAGCATGGTAATTGCGATTTTCTGTAATGTAATTTCAGTTCCTTTTTTTATCATAAGTACTTAATTAATGGTGCGGCTGCTGAGTAGAGGCATAGCAAGTGGTACTGTCTGTCGCAAGTTCGAGCCCTATCGGGGAAAGTTTTTTTTTCTTTTTTGCTGTGTAGCTGTTGAGTAGAGTCGACAGCAAGGAATGCGTCAGTTGCGAGTTCGAACCCTGCCAAGGGAACCTTTTTTTTTTTTGAAATTTATTTGGTATTGGAGTAAGAGGGTTCATGGTATTCCCTAGTCGGAAGCTCCTAACTAGAACCTCGTACTTGTTTAATTTTTGATTTGTGTATCCTTTGATTTTTGTGTGATATAAAGGTTGGACGTTTGTCCTTTATATTTAGTGAATCAGGGCGTTATTTTATTTCTCCTATTTTCTTTTCTAAAAACTGTGTCGCCTTCATTGAGGGTTTCGGAGTGATCTCTGTTTTCGCTCAGTTTTGTTCTATTTTTCATTTTATTTTCTATGCTCTCCTTTATCTCGGGGTATATGATATTTCCGAATTCATTAAGTTTTTGGAGATAATCGTGTTCGTTATGTGGGGAAGCGTTTTGCGTTAATATTGTGCGGTCTTCCGTGGAAGATCTCGTAGGGTGTATATTTTGTTGTTGAATGGATGAAGAGTTATTGTAAGTATGTTGTCAGTGTCTCGAAGAAAATGTCTTCATGGTCGCAGTTTGAGTTTTTCTTTTGTTTAAAATTATTCTTTATATCTCTGTTAGAGACGAACGGAGTCGTTACACTGGGGAATTTTTTCAAGATTGTTGAAATTAATTAAAATGCACTAATATAGTATATTGTGCAAAAATCTTTAAAAATATGTAAGTAAATTCGGAACCTTCATCGCAATTCTAGTTTCTTTCGTTTCCTGTCGTACTTGAGTGCTTGGCATATATCGCAGTCATTAATAATAATCGATGTTTTGGTCTTAAATAATGGGAAATATATGGATTTTCTTAGTTGAGCTACTGTTTCGTCTATTCCCTTGTGGTTGTTCGCCACGTGGTATTGACGTATTTCTAGTTCTTGTTCGTTTGGGTCGGTGTTGTATCTCAGTAGTGTGACACATCTAATGACCTTATATAACTGAATTGGTAGGAAGTATTCTTTTAAAGTTTCCTCAATAGTTTTAAAATTTTCGTCAGGTGCAAAAATAGCGCATGTTTTGTTAGGAGGTTTAAGAATCTTTTTCAAAATATAATCGTTCTTCTGAATTTGTTTTTGAAAGGTACGGAAGTCATGATTTCAGATTGTGTTCCAACTTTGAATACAGTATGTACATTGAATTCTTTTAAAGGTTTGTTGAAAATAGGAATCGTATTAATGTTATTCTTATTTATGGGGAAAACAACGTCGTTATTATTAACGTCGCCAGTTACGCGGCTAAGGGCGCCGGCTACTACGTTTTGGGGTCATTTCTTGTATATTATCTCGTATTCGTACTCGAGTAGCTGTAGTTTCCATCAAACCAATTTCGAATTTGGTTCCTTGAAGATCATAAGTCAAGTCAATGGCCTATGATCCGTAACTATTTTTCTACAGTTGAATCATTTACCTCTGTGTCTGATAAGGTTCTGCTAGCGAAAGACACCAGTTTGTCGTGGTTAAGTATAAAAGGTTTAGTAAGTAAGTATAAAAGGTTAGTAAGTAGTAAGTATAAAAGGTTTTTGATAATCTGGATATTAAAGGATCGTGTCATTACATAGCAGAGTTTTGCGAGTTTCAAATGCTTTATTATATTCCTCACTTATTTTTACTGTTGCTTTGGCTTTAAGTTTTTGTGTCAAGGGTTTAGTGATTGCTGCGAAATCTTTTATGAACTTTCTATAGTAACCGAGCAGTCCTAGGAAGGATTTGATTTGTCTTCTGGTTTTTATCATAGGGAGTGCTTTAATGACAATTATCTTGTCGGGGTAAGGTTTTATACTAGAATCGGTTGCTACGTGTTGCTACCTAGGTATTCGATTTCTTGTTTGAAAAATTCAGATTTTTCTGGTTGAAGCTTTAAATTTTTTCTATTTAACCTGTCGAATACTAACTTTAGGTCATTGACGTGTTCTTGGAGTGAAGATGAAAAGACTATAATGTCGTCAATATAGATTAAACAACAATTACCGTCTGCTAAGATGTTGTCCATCACCTTTTGGAAGGTGGCTGGGGCATTTGAAAGCTCGAAGGTCATTCGTACAAATTCAAAATGTACTCCTATTGCCGAAAAGGCTGTTTTGCTAATATCCCGTGGATCCATCTCAACTTGGTGGTGTTCACTAGCTAGATATAAAGCCGTAAGGTATTTGTCTCTACCTATCCTGTCAAGAACATCGTTAATGTTTGGCATGGGGTACTTATCATTTACGGTTTTTTCGTTTAGTTTCTATTGTCGATCACTAGTCTCCATTTCTTATTCTTTGAGGCGTAGGGTTTCTTTGAAACTGGGAAAATTGATGCGCTCCATGTGGAATGGCTGTGTCTGATTATGTCTTGTTCTAAAAGTTTTGTGATTTTTCTCTTAATTTCTTGTTTTTCTATAAAGCTGTATCGGAATGGTTTTGTATGCAATGTAGTCTGTCTTCTATGTTTGACCAATTTAGTGAAGGGGAGGTTGTCTTCCTTTCGATAAAAAAGTTTAGGGAATTTTTTGCAAAGGTCTTTAAGCGCTTTTAAGTCTTCAACGTCCGCAATTGGGTAAGTATATACCGTCCTTTGGTTTATTATTATTAATTTTGGATATGGCATTTATCTCAATGTAATCGTTCTCGCGGTATTTATTGACTTGTAATTCTGAGTCGAGGCATAATTTCTGTTTGTCTTGTGAGTAATTGATTACTTCCATAAGACTGAAATTGTGTTTGGCTTGATACAGTCTTCCAGGTATGAGGACATCTTTGGAAATCATTTTGGTTCGCACCAAAATACGCCGTTAGCGATGCTGACGGGTAATTTTACTATGTTCTTGGACCATTCGTCCAAAATGTGAAGTTCTGAAGTTGTATTGTTTTCTATGTGCATCTTAATGTTGAAACGTTAAGTCTCTTTGGAGATATTGATATTTTTTACCTGTTGTAAAATATCGATTCAAATTAATACGTCGAAGTATAGGTGGAATTGACATAGGATTACTTGATAATGTGTATTATCTCTTGGGTATGTACGTTGAGTACTGTTTTAATTGAAATTGGGTTTGTTAGGGTGATTTGGTTTGAATTTGTGACAATTTTTGGGTTTGTGAATGACAAGGTTGCACCTGTGTCTATCATAAACTTTATGGGGTATCCGGATTTTAAATGGATAACAATGTTAAGGGGAGCCTGGTTTTTCTTTAACTAAGTATCCTGTTTGTTTGTCGCGGCTAATCGGTAGAAGTCTGTTCCATGGTATGTACAGTACCTCTGGTTCTGTTCAAGTTTAAGTTTTCATCTAATCGTTCTGGTGGTCATTTTGTATTATTGCCGGTACGTTATTTTTCATTTCATTCGGGGCGTACTGTCGATAGTCCCTCTTTTTCCGGTCTCTCTTGGCATGTAACCGTTACTTTGGTTGCCCTGATATCGTTTTGCTGTCCGTCAGATTGGCTATTCTGTTTTCTGTTTCTAGTTTCTTGTTTCAACCTGTTTTCTTGGAAGTAAATGTGCCTTTCTTTAATAGCCCATGCGAAGGCTTCCTGAAGGTTAGTGGGTCTCATCGATCTTACTGCTAATCCTAGTGGACCTGTGAGCCATGTTAAAAACGTATTTATACAAGTGTTTGCGAACAATTGTTTCTTTGTTTTAATCAATATATCAATTTGATAACGGCTGTCCTGATATCGCAAATTTTTTAAATAAAACTTGCATTGGGTATTGAGGTTATGTAATTCGAACATGAGAGCCTATTAAGGTATTGCACTCCTTTTATAAGGTATGGCACTCCGGTCTATTACATAAACTTTAAAAAAACTTACCAGCATCCTACTTCCTACACAAACTGCGGTGATGCTATATCGTCTATAAAGAACATCAGAGCCGGAGTCCAACAAGGCAGCGTTCTGGGAAAACTGTTATTCACTGTATACACATCAGAGCCTCTTGGTCGCCACGTATGCGGATGATACTGCTTTTCTTAAAACGGCCAACACACCGCAATACACGTCCTCTATTATGCAGCGTCAGTTAGACCAAAAAGAACCAAAAAGAGTCCACCGATATCTCCCTCACGCTGCGCAAAGGCAAGACGGCTCAAAAGAACACACCCACTTGACCTCCTCCAAAGAATCTAACTCAACATATTCAACTGCTACTTAACAGTCAACGTTCACAGAAAACATTTCATTAATGCCCAAAAAGTTTTTATTTGCATATTTTTAATAAGAACAATAATTATGTTAAAATAATATATATAATATATATGCTGTATTGAGTTTTTGAATATTTTAAGAAATTCTTCTTTCTACGTCTTAAAAATTACTTGTATACTTTTAACTTTTTTACCAACATTATTTTACAGGTACGCCGGTTAACTTGTCATGTAATTATATAGGAGTAAAGTCTGACCCTAAGAAAGGAGTTTACCTTTATGAAGTACGATTCAATCCTCCCGTTGATTCAATTCATTTAAGAATGAAGTATTTAAATGAACACAAAAACCGATTTGGAGGAGCTAAAACCTTTGATGGATCCATCCTGTACTTACCGATTTTATTAGAAAGGGAATTGACAACTTTTGTTTCCAAAAATGTTGAAAATAAGGATATTGAAATAAGACTTCTGTTTAAAAAAAAAGAGTCTCTTAAGAATTGTATACAATTGTACAATATATTATTTGATCGCGTAATGAAATCTTTAAATTATGTTAAATTTGATCGAAAGCATTTTGATCCCTCACGACCAAAAGTTATTCCTATGGCGAAGTTAGAAGTTTGGCCGGGCTATGTTATTGCTGTCGATGAATACGACGGTGGTTTAATGCTGTGCTGCGATGTATCACATCGTTTACTATGCCAAAAAACAGTATTGGATATGCTAATAGAGATTTATCAACACAACAAGATTAATTACCAAGATATAGCTAAAAAATATTTAGTTGGAAGCATAGTTTTAACTCGATATAATAATCGGATGTATAGAATTGATGATATATGTTTTTCCCAAAATCCACATTCAGAATTTGAAACAAGAACGGGATCTCAAAGCTACGTTGAATACTACAAAAACCACCATAATATTTACATTAAAGACGGCAAGCAACCATTACTTATAAGCTTAAAACAAATGAGGAAAGAGAAAACTGTCAATACAGAAAACATACAGTTTTGCTTAATCCCTGAACTGTGTTACCTTACCGGCCTTCACGATGAAATTCGGTCAGACAAAAAACTAATGCGTGAAATAGCAACTTTCACTAGTGTTACTCCAAATCAGCGTATACTAGCTCTTGATAAATATTTTAAAAATGTATCTGAAAACGACGAAGCGAAAGAAATCCTTGAAAACTGGGGCTTATCGCTCTTTAAAAACTATCATAATGCAATTGGTCGGAAAATGGATTCAGAGCAAATATATTTTGCTAACCAATGCATTTTAGCTGATCATAAGGCAGACTTTTCAAAAGATGTCACAAACAATGAAATGCTAGAAGTTAAACATATAAAAAGTTGGATCGTTATTCACCAAAAAAATGATGTTCGATCGGCAAAAGCGTTTTTAACTAATGTAGAACGATGCTCCGAAGCTTTTGGAATGAGCATATGCAAGCCAACTATAATTACATTGGAACAAGATAGAGTCGATACATATGTTGATGCTTTACGACGAAACATTAGAACACAAACCCAAATAGTTGTTTGTATATGTCCGAATATCAGAGATGACAGATATAGTGCTATAAAAAAAATTTGCTGCTCGGAGCTACCGGTCGCATCACAGGTAATAAATTTATTAATAAATATATATATATCTCTTAATTTCCTCACAATAGATTTGTTAAGGTTGGTGTGGTAACCGAAGGCAATGTACATTTAGCCTGAAGACGAAAATATTTAAAAACTTAGCTAATTCCATGGTATAGAAATGAAAGGAACTACCAATAAGAAAGCGAAAGGGCTTTAATTAGAGCTGGGCAACAATAAAAGGGGTATTATCTATTATCTATCTACGAAAGTTATTGTTGCGGCATGTTGTCCCAATATTCAGTAGAGAATCGGACTAGGGCTGCACATACGATTAAAAAAAAAAACTTTCCGGCGTGTCGGCGATACATTCGTAACCGACACATTTTTGCAATAATATTACTCGGCTCCGTTATTCAACGGAATACTAGATTGTCAACATTTAAAAAAAAATTCTCTAATTTTATGCTACAGAGAAATTGTTCAATCCTCAGAAACTTAAACGGGTAGAATAAATAAAATTATATACTGTTTTCTTTAAATCGATGAATAATCGATGTTTAAGTTTTGATATTTGGCCTCCTCATGGTTGTAAGCGATGCATTAAGTGCACCTGAGGAGGCTGCCAACATCTTAATTTTGTCTAATTAGTGAATTAATTACAGTTGTGCTAACAGTTTAAACCTTTTTTTTTAGAATCGGTTATTTTTTTTTTATCATTAAGCACTCATTCTCATTCTACTGGAATACTATAACCCTTTGAAACAGTAGTCAATAGGACATTTCGCGCGAAACAGATTATATTTACATTGTCAAACTGCCTTAACTGAATTCTTGTCCGTCGAATTGGGTCAAGCTCTTGTAGCATTATCCATTCAGAAAAATTAGGATAGACTTAAAAGATTCTTTTTTTTTTTACCGAAACAACCCCAGTAAAGAACTATTTCAAAATATGTTTAAAGTCCATCGCATAAGGAACCACCAGTTGGAATAAACGGATTCCGTCCAAAAAAAAATCGTACCTTTTTAAATATTTTACCGGCAATTTCATACAAGAGCGTTGAATTACGCCTAAAAATTGTCAAAACCAGTAAGAGGCTCTAGTTGAGAGCTCCCTGAATCCTCTTCTGTAAACACCAAATATAGCTCGATTGCTTTAGCAGTAATAAAAATATATTAGCAGAAAACAAGGTTCGAGTCGGGAGGTCCCGACTAGAGAATCTTTTGTCCAACACCAAATGCAGTTCGCGCAACGCGCTCTGAAGTAATAAAGATAAATTAAACAAAAAGTTCCCAACAGAGATAGAACTAGCAACTGCTGCCCGCATTAATTGCTAACGACTCTATTCAACAGCCACACCATCAAAAAAAAAAAAAAAATAATAATAATAAAATAGTTTTCCCGGTAGCGCTCGAACTTGCGACAGAGCACACCACTTGCTATGCCTCTACTCAACAGCCACACCAACAATTACTATTGAGAAAAACGATTTAAAACACAGAAAACAATCACAATTATGCTGTTAATAGAATTCGAAGCAGACGCGAATGAATGTGTGTGTACATATATACAGAAATTCTTAAAGGGTTCGTTACCTGCCCCATCCAACTGCGTACTACAGCACATAACGTTTGGGGTTTTTTTTTAACGCATCTTAATGCAATTTTCTACAGTATATCTTATTGTGCTATAGAATATTTGTGTATTCTCAAAAAGTCGATTTCATTAAAATTGTGTTTAACTTGGTGGGCAATATAAGTTGGGTTATTAACTTGATTTTTATTTAAATATTTTAAGATTTAATTTTCGGGCTACTCTTATTTTTGCGAATAAACGAATGTCTCTTGACACAATAACGACTTCTGCGTAATTGTTTCAAGATCGGTTAAGATACGCAGTTACTATTAAACAAAACGTCTAGCTATTCACGTAGTAGACTAAAAAAGTCCGTCTACATTCGCAAACAACCATGTATATGCGTGTGTTCCTTTTTCGACAGGCCTCACATGAATGTAATTAATTTAAATCGAATCTTAGGAATTCTATGTACAAATTTTCATATTGAGAATAAAGATCCTAATATATAGGGTTAAAATCTATGTTAGCGATGGATACTTGTAATTTTGTAATGGGATGAAGAAGTTTTTGTAGGTCTTAAGTTTTCCAATCTTACCATTAAATGCGGTTAAAGAGTTCAATATATTTTAATAAATTCACCACTGGTCGGGTGCCTGAACTGACCTGTGAAACTTTTAAATTTATTCTGCCCATACAGATTAAAATACACCTAATATACACAAAAGTGGCGCTTTTTATGCAGGCTTGAAGTAACTTCAATATTTATCGTCCGATAAAGCTTGATATATTCAAATAAATGAATGGGAATTATAGAATTCTGATTTCAATACAAAAGGATTTATCAACAAAAAAAAAAGGATGAATCTATATTATATAACGCTGGCAGTGCGTTCTTGAAATGCATACATTTGTACATATAAATACATATGCACGCGTGAACTCCCAAAGTTCATTGTTCTATGAGAGAATGACAGCGTTAAGAACCCGCGCAAAAACATAATGTCCACATCTTTCTTAGCTGTTCGGTATAAGAGAACTTAGATGCTAGATGCGAATCCGTTTCGCAGTTAACTGTTTTAAACTTAAACTGACATTCAATTTAGGCTGTATATTTATTTTTACAATTTAATATACTTAAGTAATGTAGTGTATATTTAAAGGTAATAAATTCAAGGACGTTATCCAACGAAACAAAAAATCGTTCCATTGTCCAAAAAATTATTTTGCAAATGAATTGTAAAATAGGAGGATCATTGTGGACTGTAAAAATTCCCTTTAAAAATATAATGATCTGTGGAATCGACTCATATCATGATCCTTGTCAAAAGGGAAACTCTGTGGCTGGTATGTTAAATAATAATATTTATACAATTTAATTCATAATATCGTAAATATTACTGCAGCATTAGTAGCTTCGCTAAACTCATCTTATACGCATTGGTATAGTAAAGCTGTTATACAAACAAAAAAAGAAGAGATTGTTAGTGGACTTACCTCGTCTTTTGAAGCTGCACTAGAATGCTATAAGACACGAAATGGCTACCTCCCTGAGAATGTAATAATTTACAGGTATGAGTACTTTTTATTTAAAGTAAATGTATTGTAACTAAAACAAAAACTTTGTCAGCACTTAATGTTCGAAAATTTTATCTTTAAGTATATTTATAATTAGGTAAACCGTTGTGCCCTAACTTTCTAATAATAATTCCAAAATTTGCTTGTTAACTAATGAAGGGTGCTAGTTGACTATCGTAGTTGGACGCTGTTAGCTTTTTTTACTGCTAGATCTAGCTCGGATCTTGAGAAACTTGCCAACCTGAACAGTCTAAGATGGGCTCCAGTTCATGCAAGTAAGAAGCTCTAGTCGGGAGCTCCCGACTAGAGGATACCCTGCACCTTAAGAAAACGTTCCCTCGGTAACGTTCGAACTCGCAGCAAACCACCCCACTTGCCGCCGCCTCTACTCAACAGCCACAGCAATAATTATGTCCCTATAAGAAGAAAAAAAAACAGATTAAAATGGGAGCACAGAAAACAATACAATCACATTTGCAATGCCGTTCAATAACTCAATAAACACTCGTATTAATGTATGTGTATACATGTATATAGATATTCTTGTAATTTGCACCAGTTGCCGCTGGCATGTGGGCTGCCAATATATATATATATATATATATAACCACACGTTTTCTTTAATAAATTCTGTGTTCCTCAACCGATCTTAATACAATTTTTAAAACACTATCTTATTGTACTTCAGAAACTGCTGCTGTACTAGAAGCTGGAAGTCAATTTTGGTGACTCCATCTCTAAAGACCTAATAGATTTGCTCGAAACAATTTCGGTATCGATTTGGATCGATTTCTTACTTGGAAGCGAAGCATGATATCGATTATCGGAAATAAACTAGTACTGTGTGGCAATTACGCCTACGCTCCGAATTTCAAGTCAATCTCTTTTAGGTTCTGTGATCCCTGCGTTTATACATACGGACGGACGGATAGACAGACAGACATGGCTAGATCGACTCGGATATTGGTGCAGTAGCATAAAGTATTATGGGATCACAGATCCTTTCTACTGCCCGATACATACATTTGCATAATACATATATCCTTTAATAAAAATCTTCGTAGCATGAAATACATACTCACCATTTTTTCTTTGGTGTTTTCCGTTCAAATTAATAATGTTGAAAGTGTAAGTAGTATGAAATTGCTTTATAGTTCGAGACACGTTTTTATACCGTTTTAGAAGGCATTATAATTTTGTCATGAACTATGTATCGCATAAAATGAAATAGTCTCTTACTTTTATTGTTATCGTCAGAAAACTATGCATAGGTTAACTTTTTTGATGCAGGCGCATAAATCTAAGTCAACGATCGGTCGAAAATTTAGTTCTTATATAAAATACTTTTTACTTTATCGAGGCATTGACCAATCCCATTATTTATTAGTTTATAAAATACATATAAGTAACATATTCTTAATATCGCAGTACTATGGTTTAAAGCATTATAAGAGGAAGAATCGATCGAGAAATGAGTTGTATATAAATAATATATTGTATATTATATTTTTTTGTCCAGGATATTTTCATTAAACTCGGCATTCACTATTCTATACTCACAATATATAATTTTAGCTTGGTAGAAAGGAAAGAAATTGTCTCATTGTGGTATTACTAGATTTTTTGCGTAAAAAATTACTAAGCCAACAAATACAAGTTGGCGGAAAAATTTGTGGTCTAGATTCGCTTTTTGTTATTAGCAGCCTAATCTGCCTTCCTTAAAAGAGATCTGCAAACAAAAGAGCCCTCGTACCTCACAACCTTTCCCCAGTGCACTTAACTTTTTTGTAAGATAGTTCGTAAAGTATTATAAATGTGTTATTTTATCTTTTTGTCCTTGGCAAATGCATTTGATATAACCTGAACCTGTTAAAAATGGATAAAAAGGGTATAATCAAAGACAATATAAACACAAAGATGAGTAACGCCCATACATTTGAATGCGACGCAAAATTTCTAGCCTGGATTTTCATCTGGTCTTTGAGGCTTCGTACGGCATGCCTGCCGACTGGTTGTTCGTTCTCCAAAGACCAGACTAACGAATGCCGAAGTCGCGACTTGCTGATGCTGACACGAGCTACGAAGTTAGTCGTCAGCCTGCCTTCAGCAAAGCTGGTCGATGCTACTTTGCGTCGCTTCGTTTTCGAAGTACATTGAGCGAATATGCTTAGAACTAACGATCGACGCAAAGTGATTGTGTTTTATCCATGAAATGCATGCTTTATTTAAATTATATATTACCCTAGATATTAACAAATAATTTTACAGGAAAATTTAAGAACTTATATAATTTTTACACAAGGCGCTTCTTGCGCAATAACTATGTTAAGACAATAGCACACATAGATTGATATCACTTTTCTTTTTGGACAGTGTATGCTCGAGAAAACTTCTTGTCCCAGCCAATAGCGTGCGTGCACCTATCGTTGTATGCGTGAATTATACATGCATAAGAACTATAAAGTATTTATGTATGTGTTGTTATTCTTTAGCTGGCAAGAAAATTATTTTGTTAGTTTTCTAGCGCAAATCATGACCTATCCCAAATTTGTGTTAATATATGAATGCATTTTGGGTCATATTTAGTTATGACCCCATTATAATTATAATGGTCTCCTCGCGGTGTTCCCTGCGTACTTTGTTCCTTATAATTCGAACAACAAAAATAATAAAATAAAAAACAAATAATTAAATGTATCTTTGAAAAAATAATAATTTAATTAATAATTTCAAATATAAAAAATTACATAAATATTTGCATCGACTTAAAAATACAAATTTTTTTGTATGGAATACACAAAATGCATTCATATATCAACAGAAATTTTGGGTAGGTCGTGATCTGCGCTAAAAAACTAAGAAAATTGTTTCTTTGCCAGCCAGAGACTTTCCCAGAGCAGTGGATAACAATACATTCAAATATGCTGTTATGCATGTATATTTACACGCATACAAACATTATTGCTTGCACGGCCGTCACAGAGCCGAAGCTGAGATCAAATTCTATTTTTAGCTTTTTCGTTCTCTCGGCTGTGAGAGCGCAATGCTACAGATTTCGTTTTCGTTCTCAATTTTCAAAAAATCAAGCTGCATAGTAGAATTTTGTTGTATGGCGTTACTTATCTTAGTGTTTATATTGTCTTTGGTATAATGTATTTGTGCAAATCTATGTAACAGGCTCAAGGAAGCATCTCTGGCCCCATAAAGTATATATATATTCTAGGTCAGCATCAATAGCCGAGGCGATCTTGCCATGTCCGCTTGTCTGTTTCTATGTTAACTAGTCTCTCAGTTATTTTAGGAAACTTTGCAGAAGTCCCTCTATCTGTTGCGACCACTATATCATATAGTTTCCATAGGAACGATCGGTCGAAAATTAAGTTGTATGAAAAAATGTTTTTGTCATTCATGATATTTTGATCAAACACGGCATTTAAGGATTTCACTACGCTCCCTTCATTTTTGCAAAATCTTCAATGTGCCGTCTTTCTTGTGATGCTGTTTTTATACACTGAACCCGTTGCAAATTTGTAAAAAGGGTATTTGGGTGTATTTGTGCAAATGTATGTAACAGGCAGAACGAAACATCTCCGACACTATAAAGTATATATCTTGTTGATCAGCACCAACAGCGAAGTCGATCTAGCCATGTCCGTCTGTCCGTCCGTCCGTCCGTCGGTATGAAGGCAAGGATCTTAGAACCTATAAGGCCAGAGATTTGATTCGTTTCCGATAAGGGAACACTTTCTCCGTTTTCAAGTAATCGATAAGCATCGATATCGATATTCTTTTTAGCAAATTTTCGAAATAATAAGAACTAAAACCACCAAAAACTGACACGTAACTTTTAGTATAATATATATATAGTATAATATATATATATATATATATATATATATATATCCAGTACCTCTCATTTTGTGTCTATGACCCCCTGCCTGATTCTACCCCATAGCTATAAATCAAGTTAACCAACTTGTATTTAAGCTACAGTTTTAATACAATTGACCTTGACAGTTGATCTAGATCGGTTAGGAAACATAAAAGATGTTGAAAAATGTGTTGCCTATCCACAATTTTCTGGCAACAAGCTCAAGTTGCATGAATTTCTGAACACTTTCTCATGCGTGTATTCATTAAATTCTATCAACAGTATTGCAATTGCGATTTAATTTTTTTCTGTGCTGCTATTTTAATCCGTTTTTGCTCATTTAAACTCAATTATTGGTTTGCCTGTTAAGTAGAGGCGGCAGCTTGCTGCGCTGCCCCTCTTCTGTTCTCATATACACGCGCCAATTCTGCGCTTTATAGAGCGTTTTATCTGGCTGGTGCTAAATCCTCGCGTCTCCTTTGATTACCATGTTGCGTACAAATACTGGGCTTGTTGGTCTCTGTGCGTAAAGTGAGTCTTTACTCTTTCCTTGTGGCAGTTAATATGTAATTATTATTTTTTATTTTTATTTCAGAGATGGGGTTGGCGATGGTCAATTGAATTTATGTGCCAAATACGAAATTCCGCAATTTGAAGACGTGTGTAAAAAGAATATTAAAATTACCTTTATAATAGTTCAAAAGCGTAATAATACTCGATTCTTTTCGGTAAGTTATTTAAATATGATATTATCCATATATATAAAAAATTACTCTAGTCCCCTGATATTAAATAAATAATGAAGCTTGCTTATTACAAAGATAATAGCTAGTGCACAATACGCATCCAAACATTGTGTAACCTGGACCCATTGAATAAGAAGTGAAAATTTTGTGATAATTTATTTTAAGGGTAGGAGAAGGAATCTCAAAGCCTAGTCGATCTAAGAATCATGTAGATATTTGGAAATGAATTTGACCGCTAAACGTCACCCACCAAATCTTTGACCCCCATTTCCACCAAGGAGGAATGGATATTCCGAAAAGTGCGAAACACTCCTTAATTGAATTTGAACAATGATATTTAGTTTGCATTTGAGACCAATCGGAAGGTAAACAAAAAGTTGTATTCAAACGTTTTTTGACAATTCACCGCTGTAGAGTTTTGAGTTGACCCGAAGAGTATATACGAGCGCCAGAGGAACGTATTTTCTGATTATCTTAACATTGATATGCTATATGCTATATATCTAAAGAGTTTTATCGGCGAAAGATTGCACGTGTCCTGAAGCGTAACAAACGCTTGTATGGTCTCGTATAAATGGATTTTTTTTAAATTGGCTTCGTATCTTGCACCAGTGAGCCATATTTGTCCTTACGTTGGAATGACAATAATGTGTACATTATAGTTGTGTTAATAATGGCCTGATTGTTGCAAGTACATACAAGAACTCTCTCAAAAGTGTTAAAACGATTCGTAGAATCGCGTTGGTAAGTCAATTAATATGATGGAATGCAAAACTTTCAAACTTATGATACACCGCCAGGCTGCTTTTCAAGTCGAATATGAATACGAATATATTATTGCGAGCGAGCTTACCAAGCCAGATATCCATCATTGAAACGTTAACACTATGTGTAGCCATGTCCTGATATTGAGCTCTTAGTTACGAAGCTTGCATCGCAAAGTGCGGTTCCTTATCGAGAACATAAGACAGAGCTGAGTCTGCATTACAAGAAGTCTGTAAAATAAATTTCTTTAATGTCCATGCTCATGGAGGCTGGAGATAACACGGACCGGAAGTGGTTCAGTGGCTGGGATTTTTTTGCAATAAACTTCAATTTATGCCAGGTCCGACTGTTTCATTGTCTTCGATAGCTACAGAATGTAATTCAACTTCAAAGGAAGCTAAATAGTAATCTCCTCATAGCCCCAGCAGCTGCGCACAACAAAGGGGTTGGGATTGTTTTGAAGTAGGAGAACGGTGTTGAAGTCTGCTGGCGCCTCTGCTCTGGCCATGTCCGGTCTAGACCGCTTCCTGAAGATTATGTTTTAGCGCACGTGTGAGTACGAATGTTTCCCTTCCATATCACACCCAAACTTCCATTACAAATCAATCCATTAACGATAGTTCGCCCACAAGAACGCTCGTTCGGACTCAGCAATGTAGCAGCTTACATCGATAAATTCAATGCTACGTACACTTCAATTATACTACGCCCACAAAAGAATCGTCCGCAACGATTAACACGGAAAGCAAATTGCAGCTCCTACTAGTCTTAACCCATCCGAAATATTGTGTCGTTTGAGGCGCAATTTTCCAGATGCTGGAATCGATTCGATTATAGCACATAACAACCAATAGGAATACTTTATGTAAGACTAGCGGGTAGCCCCGGCCTTTCCCGTGGCACATATTAAATAAATTCTCTCAAGGATCTTTGAAAATGAGTTTTAAGTCGATCGGACGGTAATTAAAAAACTTTTATGTAACCGTTTTCCCCGCATTTACTTCTGCTGGGGTGAAAGCCTAATGAATTTGAACAGAGATCTTTGAAAATAAGTTTGAGGCCGATCTGATGGTACACAAAAAAGTTTTATACAAACGTTTTTCGCGATTTTTTTATACTTGCGTGTGGAATTTCCCGAAACCCCGTCTTAACGTGTACCTTCATCACATAAGGTAACTACATTGAATTTCAGTTGCCTGGCTCTTACGGCTTGGGCTGTGCGTTGATCACCAATCAGTCAGTCAGTCCGGCAGTCTGCCAGTGAGTCAGTCATTCAGTCAATCAGTCGATCAGTCAGGACAAACAGCAGCCGCAACAAGTATTAACACCAGCTAGTTTGTTAACTGTTGCGCGATAGCAAAAGACAACAGACATCAATTTGACTATGCAAAAGCCCTGTGAATAAGAGTCAGAAAACTGCTCATAATATTCTCAAAGTCAAAAAAATGCATTGGGCAATGAAATTTAATAACTTTGGTTCCAAGATTTTAACAAAGTTGCGTGTAAATTCCGGCCTGGCTGCATTCGAGATACGCCGGAGTGTAGGAGGTGGTTGACATGTATGGATCAGTATTATCCATTATACCACATTAGGGAGTTAGCAATAAAACCACATAACCACAGTCTTGATCTAGTCGCAACAAATCTATAACGTTACCTGATTACTGTGACTAAAGTCAAATTTTTTGGCTACACCGTCGAACAACCTGAAACGGCTGTAAGATAATGATTAACGCCGGGTTACAGATGTCAGTTCCTAAATTACTAAGACACAGAGCTAAAAAAGCGGGGTGTTTGGGCCGGGAAAGATTAGTCGTGATAATAAGTTGTATCAAATTTTCTTAGGTTCCGGTGGCTCGGCTGCACCGCTGTTCTTATATCGCTCTCTCTCTAACCGCTCCCCACACGTCCTTTATTTATGCAGCTAAGCCATGTTTTCAACCCTTTCTCGCGTTCTTCACCTCATGGTAAGAAATCCTTACTTAAGTTCTTCCTTCTGATTTAATATTCAATCCATAAGGCGTATTCACATTCACACCTTACACATGCATATTTACATTTTTTTATTCAATGTGTTTTCTTATATTTATTCCACCTGCAAGTGTGGAAAATCCGCGATGACACTTTTTTGTTTTGTTTAAGATCCAATCGCCCTCAAACTCATTTTCAAAGATCCAGTCCATTTTATTTGGGGGCCAAAGAATTGGTGAGGGACGTTTCGTGTTGAAATCTATTTTCAAAGTTCTTTAAGAAGAATCATTTGAGACGTGTCTTACGCTTTTCGCAGAATCCAAGATTCCTCGGTGGAAATGCGATTCAAAGATTTTTTGGGCGAAGGTTTTAGTTATTTGCATCAAACTTATTTTCAAAGATAAAAATAATGTAATAAATACGTGTTTTAACGATTTAGAAAATTCCATCCGCAACTGTGGAAATTTGGCTAAAAAACGTAACGTAACTTTTTAGGTTACTATCGATTCCAAACTCAGAGATCTTTATCAGAAACCGGCAAAGAAGAGGGCAAAGTTCACCGTTATTGGATGGAACCTGCAGGTCAAAGGTTAATAAACGCAATTTTTTATTCGGCCTCAAGATTCTTACCGCAAGACTTAGAAGGGCGGAAACCTCTTACATTTGGTTCTTTATTCGATGAACTTTAAACATATTTTTGAATAGAAGTGGAGATCAAGATTATACGGGTATATTTAAATTTCCATTGGCGTGTACTTACGGAAGGTAATATCTAAAATTTGTAGCTCAAAACGTTCCACGGCAAGGCTAGTCTCTCAAATTATTTTTCTTTTAAGTTGATAATGCATCACCCAGGCAGCTTAGTCACTGCGATTTGATTTTACAATATTCCACAAACAAAGAACATGTAGTATATAGTACTTATAACAGCGTGTCTGATGCATTATGTAGCTTATATGTTATTTTAATGGCAAATACCACCACGTTGCTGTCACCTAGCTGTCTTACTCACCTAGCTCGATCAAAGCTTTGGTGTTATGGCGCAAAGTATCTATTAGGTGGTGTATACATCTAGCCAGCGTCTTGTCTTCCTGAATTCCGGGACTCGGATCCTTCCTCGGCTTGTAAAGAGAGCGAACTTGTGGAATGACATCAGGGAGACTCGTTCTCACGGAAATGTGAAAAAGCCATCTCATTCATCTCTTGCATCATTCCTGGATGAAGTTGATCTCCTCCGTGTGAGTGGCCGGCTTAGGCATTCATCTCTAGACTATGCGGAGCAACATTCTACTGGTTTGCCTCGGCGTCATGCAATCAACTCTCCTCGTTACGTTTCATGATTGGAATTAACACCCTGGTCTCCGCGCTGTCCTGGTAAATATTCGACTTAAATATGGGCCTGTTGGCGGATCGAGAACAGTTTCTAAAACAGTCAGTAGAGATGGGAGGTGCTTAAAAGTGAGGCCAAGTTTTGTCGATCCTGGGATAGCGAGTCTTCCAGAAGACCGCATGGAAGGCTTTCGAGCGAGGTATATTATTGCGGACCTCTCTTCTATAAGTCGGAAGCTCGTTCGAGGCTCGTATTATACTCGCCTAACATAAGCGTTGTGCATTTCCTACATTGTCTCCTGCATTTGCAAATGCATCCACTACCAGCAATGATCCAAATGGTGAGAATATTAACAGCGATAGAAGATTTATTGCCACTACAGCTGATTAGAGGTCTCAATACTAAGAAAATAGAGAAGATAGGCGCTGTACGAGCCAACTTCAAGACTAAAACCTTTACAAATCTCGGAGTAACATCTGGAATACGATTGGTTTTCGTAGCCTATATAATGAAACTTAATTTGGCCGGCAAACCATTATTATTGTAATGTGTAACAGTCATACCCATTAGCAAAAAAACAGCGGCCAGCCAATGTTAGCGAAACAGAAGGTCCCCGAAAAACAGTATACAAAACGATCAGTATACAAACGAACAGTATACAAAACGACCACGATCACCGGGACCTTTGAGGTCAGAGAGGCAGAATATAACACCTAAGTTATATACGATTGCACAAGAATCAGCAAAGTCAATAGAGTTCGTTGGATCCCAAGCATTGCGAACCCCTGCGAAATGCACCGATTCCGCATTTCCACAGACGCTGGAACGCAGACACTAAGAAAGACATTTCCACATTAGACCGTGGTTTTCTTAGTTTATAATTTAGACATTAAGCTTAGATTGTAATTGAACTCATTGTAAGCAGATTGTACTTATGAATTATTCAATAAAAAATTTTTTTTTCGAAATATCAACCCACAAATTAGATCAGATATACATTCTAAGTATGTGTTTGCATGTGTGCATGCTTTAGAGCATGTTTTTTAAAGCAGCATTTTGCCGAGTTAGAATATTTAAAATTTTTTTATCAATGCCATTCAAAATCACACTCTTATTGATTATATATTTTTAATTTTCTTTAAGAATCTGTCATTTTTTTCTCGCCTTTTGAAAGTTGTATTTATTAATTAAATTCGATTTAATGAATCATCTTTTGGTTGAAGGTGAAAACATTCAATAAATCGAAATAAAAGGAACAAACGTTTTTATAATTACAAATTCAAAAAATTTCCAACCATAGTTCAAAAGTAGAAAGTGTAAATATATAGCGCTTTTAGATACTATTTCCTTAGTATCAAATTTTAAAATCGGGAACGACTAATTTTAAAATAGGCTCAAATAAAAAAGGTTTTCTTTATTTGAGACTCCCACTCGCCAAAAATGTGAGGTTTCGCCCTTACCATTGTTTTTTTGTCACTCAGTCAATTTGTCAGTTTATCAAATAATTGAATTTTTGAAGTTATTTTCTAAAATTTTGGTAGTGAAAATACCCCTGTAGCTACAAATCCGAAAGCTCTGCAAGAAGGGTAGTCCAGATAAAATAATCAAATTTTAATAATAGGAATATATAGAAGTGTCAAGAGGTGCCATCGTGAACTGCGTACATATAACCTCTATTGGGAGGAAGTACTCTAATAAAAATTGTAAGTCCAACGACTTGTATGGTTCAACCGATGTCTATATTGAAGAAACAATGAATTGGCTTAGCCGATCGATATGTGTATGCCAATGCGAGAAGCGACTGGTCTGCTATGCACATTAATAATAAGGGTTCTCACTCGCATAGCCAATGCTAATAGGGGTAAATTCCTGCATATTTTTAGCAAATGTATGTAACAGGCAGAAGGAAACATAAAGTACATATATTCTTGATCAGCATCAATAGCCGAGTCGATCTGTCTGTCCGTCCGTCTGTCCGTATGTTTCAACGCAATGATTTCAGAATCTATAAGAGCTAGAAACTGATCGAACTTTTAGATGCAGGTCCGCCTAGTGCCTGCACAGATCGAGTTTAGCTCCGATAGTCGGTAACTTACTAAGTTTCCCAGGAATCGATAAAAATCGATATTGGAATCCTGTTTCTTAAGCAACTCAGGTAAATATTAAGAGCTAGAGTCACCAAACTTGATATGTTGCTTCTATTATATTAAATATATATCAAGCATCTTTTTCATTTTATACCTATCGCCACCTCCCCGCTATCATTTTAATGCAATTGACTTTTTGAGAATACACAAATATTCTATGGTACAATAAGAATTCTGTCGAAAAGTTCATGAAGATCGGTTAAGGAACACGTGTCTGCGGCACCAGCGCAAATTCCAAGAATTTCTGTATTCATGAACAGTGTATTCTATCAACAGCTGCTATTTTAATTCGTTTTTTTTTTCTCAATAATTCTTAATTATTGGTGTGGCCAAGTGGCAAGTTAAAGCCCTATTAGAGAAAAAAATTTGTTTGTTTGGCCTGTGTGGCTGTTGAGTAGAATCGTCAGTAAGTGATACGGTCGGTTGCAGGTTCGATCCCTGCCAAGGGACATTTTTTATACCCTGAACCCATTAAAAATGGGTGTAAGGGTAAATTGTATTTGTGCGAAATCCAAATGTATGTAACAGGAAGTATCTCCGACTCCATGAAGTATGTATATTCTTGATCAGCATCAATAGCCGAGTCGATCTAGCCATGTCCGTCTGTCTGTCCGTCCGTCCGTCCGTCGTTCCGTCCATATGTATGAACGCAAGGATCTCAGAACCTATAAGAGCTAGAGACTGAAATTTTAGATGTAGGTGCTCCTAGTGCCTGCGCAGATCGAGTTTGTTTCCGATAATCGATAACTTATTCAGTTTCCAATCAATCGATAAAAATCGATATCGATATCCTGTTTTTTGGGCAATTTTTGTAAATAATAAGAGCTAGAGTCACCAAACTTAACATATAGCTTCTAAAATAGAATATATATATGCATTTGATGTTGGAAGAAGAGGGCTTAGGGTATCCCCTAGTCGGGAGCTCCCGACTAGAACCTCTTACTTGTTTTCTCATTTATCTGTATTTCTTCAAACAAGGACGTTGCGCGAACAGCATTTGGTGTTGGAATAAAAGGTTTCGAGGTATTCTCTAGTCGGGAGCTCCCGGCTCGAACCTCTTACTTGTTTTTGTTAATATATTTGTATTACTGCTAAGGCAATCGAGATAAAGCAAACGAGATAAAGCAATCGAGCTATATATAATGTTGGTAGAAGAGGGTTCAGGGTATTCCCTGGTCGGGAGATCCCGACTAGATTTTCTAAATTGTTTTTATATATATATATATCAAAAATTGTCTCATCAAAATTTAGTTTCATGGCTGCTAAACAGTTTATTTTAAAATTTTCAGAAAAGTAACAACAATTTCGAAAATCCTTTACCGGGGACGGTGGTTGATAAATATATTACAAGATCGCATATGTATGATTTTTTTTTGGTTTCACAAATGGTTCGACAGGGTACTGTCAGTCCAACACATTTCGTTGTCTTACGCGATGACGCAAATTATGGGCCTGATACCATACAAAAATTATCTTATAAGTTATGCTTTCTGTATTATAACTGGCCTGGAACTGTACGGATTCCTGCATGTTGTATGGTAAGTTTGCAAATTTTTTCCTTTAGTTTTAAATGAGAAGATGACAACGTACGATATAAAATGTGAGAATATTCACACTTATTTCTTATCACTTATTTGCATTAGATAGGAACTACGAGGTTGAAAGTGTCAATCTTCTATATATAAAACTTGTTGTCCTGACTGACTGACTTATTGTCTATTGGTGATCAACGCACAGCCCAAAACGTAAGAGCTAAGAAGCTGAAATTTGTACTGTAGTTACTTTATGTGATAAGGTGCACTTTAAGACGGAGTTTCGGGAAATTCCACCCGTAAGTATAGAAAAATCGAAAAAACGCCTTAGACTCAATTTTAAAGAAATTTGTTAAAATGCACTTAAGGGGTGTGTGAAAATCCATTCCTTCTTGTTGAAAAGGGACTACGCGCCAAAATTCATTTCTAAGGGTCTATATGAAAAATCATTTGAGAGGTGTTTCACACCTCTCGCAGAATCCAAACTTCTTAAGTAGAAATGCGATTCAAAGACTTGTTGGGCGAAGCTTTAAGTTTTGTCCGATTTGCTTTAAACTTTGCCTTAAACTTATCTTATTTGGGAATCCAACCCGCAACAGTGGTAAATTGAAGTAGAAAGTAACCGTAAAAAGTATGTGGACATACATCAGACGAATGTACATACTTCAGGATGTCTAGCCATTGTCCCCTGTCAGTATGTATGAACGCGGCGATCCCAAAACATATAAGAATTGGGCTGTTGTTTTTCATCATTGAAACCTTGCTTGAAATTATATGTATATACTGTGAACCCATTCAAAATTGAAATCAGTATGAGGAAGCATGTCCGACACCGTACAGAATATATATCCTCAATCCGCATCAACCGATCGTCTTATGTGATCAGCTATATGAGCTTGTTAATCTCAGAACCTAAAGGAGCTATACTAGAAATTTTGGTCACACAGTATTCCCGATAATTGATAAAATGCCCAATTGATAAGAAGTGCATAAAAATCGATATCGAAATCGTGATTTTGAGCAAGTGTTAAGAACTGTAATCCTTCAATATATATTGTTAATCAAGTTTCGGTAGAGGATGGTAAGGAGTGTCACATGTTAAAAGGCACTGACCAACGAACTCTCATTGATCGTAAGATTTAAAGTCCAGCTTGCTAACTATATCTATGTACCTATAGGATAGGCATGTATCTTAAAAAAAAGTCTGGACAAAGATAGGCAATGTAAGAGTCAGCATTCGCACACGCTCTGTCACACTTTACACGTGATTTGCAGGAGGTCTCTTATATTCATAAGTTATCTATAATTTAATGTTATCTTAGTAATAGGTGGACGTATACTTCGAACTTTTAATCTCTAGCTCTTATAGTCTTTTAGGTCTACGCATTTAAAGAGACAGAAAAGCAGACGGACTAGGACCTACGATATTTTTATCGTTTGCTTAGTACTGATACTCGGTCAGTCGTTCATGAACGATGTATTTAATTCAGCAGTTCAGCCGTTGATGAACTATACATATTTTTGAGTTGTTCAGTTCTTTAACGGGACTTTAAGTTCACTTTTAATTTGTTGAGTTGTAACTTACAACTTGTAGGTTTCTATTATCAATGGTATAAGAAGAATAAGTATAATAAGTAAAAAGTATAACATATTTTTTATACCCTGAACCCATTAAAAATGGGTATAAGGGTATATTGAATTTGTGCAAAATCCAAATGTATGTAACAGGCAGAAGGAAGCATCTCCGACCCCATAAAGTATATATATTCTTGATCAGCATCAATAGCCGAGTCGATCTAGCCATGTCCGTCTGTATGTCTGTCCGTATGTATGAACGCAAGGATCTCAGAACCGATAAGAGCTAGAGACTTGAAATTGTAGGTGCTCCTAGTACCCGCGCAGATCGAGTTTGTTTCCGATAAACGATAACTTACTCAGTTTCCAAGCAATCGATAAAAATCTATATCGATATCCTGTTTTTTGGGCAATTTTGGTAAATAATAAGAGCTAGTGTCACCAAACATGATATGTTGCTTCTAGAATATTAAATATATGTCAAGTATCTATTATCTTATACCTACCGCCACCTCCCCGCTACCACCCCAGAGCTATATATCAAGTTAATAACCCAACTTTTATTGCCAACCAATTTAAGCCACAATTTAAATGCAATTGACTTTTTCAGAATACACAAATATTCTATTGTACACTAAGATATACTGTAGAAAATTTCATAAAGATCGGTTAAGAAAAAACCAAAGTTAATGCAACTGCGCAATTGAATGGGGCAGCAGTTTTAAGAATTTCTGTATACATGTACACACACGTGGTCTGTCGCGAGTTCGATCCCTACCGGGAAAAAAGGAATTTTTTTCCTGGTGTGGCTTTTGAGTAGAGTCGACAGCAAGTATTGCTGTCAGTTGCGAGTTCGAACCCTGCCAAGGGAACTTTTTTTTTTTTAAATTTATTTGATGTTGGAATAAGAGGGTTCAGGGTATATAGAACATCTTACTTGTTGAAACTGAAAACATGAAAAAAAACTGAACAGAAAATATAAAAAATTCACTGTAGTACCCTCACTGTTAAGACCACATATTTTCGCTTATTCCTCATCGGTAAGGTACCATGGTCATTATCGTATTTTATTTAATTTTACGTTAATATTCATTGCAAACAATAAAACGTGTATTTTTTTTTTAAGCCGGAGTGAGAGCCAAAAGCTTTAAAGTGCGTATCATATTTTTGCACCAGTCTAAAATCGAATCAGTTATTAAAAAGAAATGAATACATTCAGTTGGTTTTTTACATTTTTCTGTTTTATTTTATATTCTCTTGCTTACCTCATTTGTACTTTTTCGGTCAACCGATTCTTAACATAATACACTCAAAAAGGTGTGTGCGTTCATAGTTGTACGCCAAAGTATATATGAGGAGTACACTAAAACAGTATATCTAGATAGTCAAAAAGGATTTCCATTCAGGCACCTACCCGTCGATATATCGTTCCTGTGATATAGAGATCCAATAGGAAGGTTCCGCAAAAACAGTCCAATGCATGACATGGTTTCAAGACGATAGCCAAGGTGGTTCGCATAGAAACAGACATGGCTTTATCAATTCGACTGTTAATGATGATATATGACAATATGATTAAAAATCTCAACATTTATGAGGACATATAGTTACTAATTTTTAAATCATATTACATAATACTTGTATGTTTGCTTATTATGTTCAACTTTTCATATTTCTTTCAGTACGCTCATAAGATGGCATACTTAATTGGTCAAAGCATTCAACGCGATACTGCCATTAACTTAGCGGAAAAGCTCTTTTATTTATAAAAAGTGTTTATTAAAAATAATGTATAATTATAAGCATTTTGTGAAACAAATTCAAAAATTATGCCGCAAGCCATGAAGAGCGCAGCTCTATTTATGTTTATTAATGTTAAATATTTTAAGTTGGAATACAAATATATAATTTTTGTACTTTTAAATGGGATTGTCTTAATTAACTGAGAAAATGAATAGATGTATTGTATATAGCTTTTGATTTCAATAAAATTGTGTGCGCTTTCACATCTTTGGTAATCTTTAACTAATCTTTTGGAGAGGGAGCTTTCGACGGTAAGCTTTTCAAGCACAGACGTGAATTTAATCAAGAAAAAAATACTTTCTAAAAAATGTTTAATAATGCAAACACTTATCACGGACGTTACCAGACATTGAAGACAGTGACTGTGGTCAGACGGTGAAGCGTTTAATCGCCCCTTCTTTATATGCGACTCCCTCTCAAAGGATGACTAACAACATCAATAGGCATCCGATGCCTTTATGGTCCAACGCCGTAGAGACTTCGCAGCAAGTTGATTCTATTGCAGATGAAGCTGCTACTGCTGCTATAGCTCGCTTGGTTAAAAGCCAAAAGTCGGTCAGGACCACAAACACTAAACGGAAAAATACCAGCCACACTGGAAACCGCTAAAGGGTAATTGCCAGGCTCCCGGCCCCGGGGCCATAAAACGCCTCATCTAGAAAGGACTATGATTTGTCGAGTTTTTCGATGACTTGGAGTTTGACGAATCGGATTCGGATCATGATAGGCGTATGCCACATTCAGATGACGAGTCCGATATTGTTGTTTGTCCTTGTCCCTCCAGTTGCTTATTACTTACTCGCACTAGCTTCCACAGTCGTCAAAACTCTTCTACAAGCAGCATTTGAATATGCTACGCTATTCCGTAGTATTTCGTTTTGCTCTCGATATCACTATCTCTTTCAACAGAGGCGTAGCAAAGCCAGAGCCAAAAAATGAAAAAGTATTTGCTGTGCTCTGCTTGTAGCTTTGTCGCGTCATTGGCTATAGCAATAGCAATAGCGAAACATAAAATGTTGCTGAAAACTAATAGCGAGATGAGAGCAGAGTAAATGAAATTGTTTCATTTACTACGGCTCTTGTTCGCCTTTTTTTTTTGATCATTCTGTGACCTTTATTTTACTTATTCATACGTTAACAAATAAAAGAAGAGATGCTAAGCAAAATGTTATACACAAAGAGCCAATAAATTTGTTCTCCTTCAGCATTAAGACCGCGTCCAACAACAGGACATACATAATATTAAAATATTAAATGGACAAAAGATCAAGATCGAGCCGCCCATGCGCAAGCAAAGTGAGATCACCCAAGGCAGACGCTGCCAATGCTATGGGCAATTGCCTGCTTCAGCCGGATGCAGCTATGATGCGTCCGATGTGGCCAGAGCCACATATCCTCGGAATGTGTCATTCTGCCACCCCTCACAGACACACTACTAAACCGAGTCAGGCTCACCACGTTTCAGGGAAATTGGCCTCCAATGTGACTAAAGCCATTGACCGGTTGTTGAGATGCAAGCTCAAATGTGGGGACCCAAAATCAAGTTCTCAGTAGCTTCAACAATCAGGTCTTAAAATGACCTCCTTACGCATATTGATCTGGAATGCCAATGGCATTTCAGAAAAAGTGCCGGGTCATGACCTTTTCGTTCCTGTTGAGCGAAATAAGACTTCGGCACAAAACACCTCAGGGAGCTCGGGTTGGAGGAGGTGTTGCTGTGCTGGTTAAAAATTAATTAATGCACTACCTGCTGTCACAATTGCCAACATTTCCTTCTAGCTATCGACGGTGAGTGTGAATACTGCTTTAAAAGTCTTTGCTTTGAGCACATTATACTTCCATCACAAGGGTTGAATCGAAATCAACGATTTCCACGTTATTTTAAACTCTGTGGGACCCAAAGCGATTACAGCCGCTGACTGTGAAGTGACCGCACCATAAGCCCCAGAGCCGCACTGCTTTCTAGATGTCTGGCTTTCCATGGAGTAAAAGTCCTACCGACAGGTTCTTTGCCCCGTATCAAGGAATATCCGTTGGGATTATAAGGATTTCAAACTTCTGGCACCTGTACAGCGATCACTTGGCTTTAATTGTGGAAACTGGTACACAACTCACGGACGTTTCGCCAAACTATAGGGTGCTCTCTAGACGCTCTTTAGTTCCCGTCTTCTAAAGAAAGCTTTTCGAAACCATCGATCCGAATATGGAGCTGCATATGAGTCAGCACATTGACGATGTTGTTTCTAACCAAAAAAATCCAGCAAGCATCCCAGTAGGCAGGTCCTCGCATCACAACACCATGTAGCTCAGCCCTCTATCGTCAAAATATAAATATTCGAGACCTGATTAGATTAAACAGAAGACAGCGCAAGCGTTCCTTACGCACCCGCCAGCTCGACGACACTGCACTGTGGCCTCACCACCACCAACTTAAAAAAGTGCGCAAGATCCAGAGAGTATGACACATTGAGAAGAAGCTTAAAGCAATTGACTACACAAAAGATTCTGGCTAAGCCTGGCAAGCCTGAGGATGACCCCATTTCACAGAACAGATTCACAGGGTTGGGAATCACATCGTTAAGTCATTGACAAAGAATACTGTAATGGTGTAATGTTATGCAAGTACTGGCCATACTTCTCTCTGTATCTTATCCTATCACCCGGCTGAAAAGGCGACAACACCTTACACTACCGTCGTAGACAACATTTTAATTATCCGCAAGTATTATTAAAATCTTGTCCATATGATAAGGTGTGCATTCAAACTTACTCTACCTGCCTTGTTATGGGCAATATTGCTGGCCGGTTCCTAACATATCTAATAAAAAAAAAACAAGTAACAGGTTCTAGTCGGGATATTCCGACTAGGGGATACCCTGATAAACAAAGATAAATTAAACAAAAAATAAGTTCCATTAGCAAGGTTCGAACTCGCAACTAACCGCACTACTTGCCGCTGTCTGTACTCAACAGCCACACCAGCCCACAAAAAAAAAAAAACAGTTTCCGTATGAGTCGAACTCAACAGCACTTCCACTACCTCTACTCAAGACCCACACCAATAATTGATTCTTCGAGAGAATTGGAATAGTAGCACAGAAAACAATACAATTGTAATTGCAATGCTGTTCATGATTCCGTGTACATGTATACATATATTCTTCGAAATCGCGTTATCTGGCCAGCTATACAATCGACAAAATTCCATTGCAACGTATTTTAACAGTTAAGGATCTAGGCATTCTTTTTGATTCTAAACTCAGCTTGAATCTGCAATCGGTAATGAGGCAAAAGGTGTACTTGGATTCATTAAACGATGGTCTAAAGAGTTTAACGATGCTTTTATAACGAAACTTTTGTATATCTCTCTTGTTCGCCCTATCCTTGTCCGAACTGGCAAATAAAACACCTCCATTGGTTTGTGATGCTATTAGAAAATTGTGTACTCTATATGTAATTTGTATTCTATATATGTAAATTGTATTGAATAATGAGGAAGACACTCGTTTTTTTAATAAATAAATAAACATATAATATTCTAGAAGCAACAAATCATGTTTGAACAAAACAGGAACAGGATTTCGATATCGATTTTTATCGATCGCTTGGAAATAGAGTAAGGTATCGATTTTCGGGAACAAACTCGATCTGCGCTTGGGCTAGGAGGACCTACAGTTAAAATTTGAATTCTCTAGATCTTATAGTTTCTAAGATCCTTGAGTTCATACATACGGACGGAAGGACTGACAGGCAGACGGACATGGCTAGATAGACTCGGCTTTTGATGCTTATCAAGAGTGTGTATACTTTATGGGGTCGGAGATGCTTCCTTCTGCCTGTTATATACATTTGCACAAAAACATTGTAGCCTTTTTACCCATTTTCAATGGGTAACTTCTAAACGCGGATGCAATTTTTGCTTTGATTGATGCGCTTGAAATTGCATACGAACTGTACATAGTGCCCGAAGGACTTTCAATATAAGGAGGCACCGTGAATTCCTTCAATGCAATAATATGTATGCGAAATTTTCGCCATTGAGTTGCCGAGTCCAATGGGAGCTGAGAATTCTAATGCAAGGAATGCAGCTGTTACGCTATTGAGCTTTTTCAATAGCTTTCACAATAGAAATAATTATTTCTTGTGCTCCAATTTGTTTGCATGTTGATTGTAACTTCAGAGAAGCAAGCAGACCCGAATTGGTCTGTGTTTATAATTTAAATTTAAGAATCTAACAAAACGTTTATAAGGGCAAGCGAACCCTAATTGCTGCGTGCTGATTACAATAAAGCCGCAGTTTATTTTTTATAATTTGTTTAAGTAATGCAAGGGGCCGATGTGTACCAATGCACGAAGCGAACGAACTTAACTAATTCGACGCTCAGCATCGAGGCCTTCGCATAAGTAATGCTAGGGCAATGAAATCGATCGTTTGAGCAAAGATCGCCAGCTTAATGTAATTGTAATTTTAAGACCGAAATTTAAGGAATTGCTTCCCAGAACAAGTATTTTAAGATAAGATTAAGAAGTTGCTTTTATCAGTTGCGAAGTCGTTCCAGCTGATTTGGCTGCGTAGCCAGACATTCTTTCCCCGTTGGAAAGCATGGGCTATCAACAGATTCCCTGATGGGCAATAGGCACAGCTTGTTCGCAGCTCTCCTCGTTTCTCCTGTTGCGGTGTGCATAATAGTGACGCATAGGCCTGGTTTCGAAGTAATCCATTTGAAGCGCTGCTAAAGCAGCGTTAAATATTCTTTACGCCAGCGAGACCAAATAAGTTGTTGCAGGTATGTTCCGCGTTTTCATCCATCCAGAAGATTGAATTGAAGGTGCGTCACATCAGGCTGTGAGATGGGTCCATATATCAAAAAATGAGCAGGAGTGAGCTAGGTCTGCTGGATCTTCTGAATGAGGAAACAATGGCCTGGAGTTAATTATCGATGCTATGTGGCATACTAAGGTGCGAAGCTCTCGAAGATGAGAACACAAGAGCCAACGGCACGATAAAAATAATGCTTCGCTGTCTTTGCTGCTGCTTCATAAAGTCCGCCAGAAAGCGGTGAACGAGGGGTACAAATTTCCAATCAATGGAGTCAGACATGCAAAACTAGTGCACTGAATCAATATGATGCGACTGATGTATAGACACTTGAGCTACAGAAGCTTGTTTTTGGGCCGACAAAGTTGGTAGCGTTATGCGACCATATATGAGATGG